TTCTATTTTCATTTAAATAATCAATAATATAAATTTTTCATACATTTTCAATTTTAATTTCAATCTTGTTTATGTTGTTTTTATTGAGTGAACAATTATTAAATTACATCCTTATTAAAATATCTTTATTTAAATATCTTTCTGCTTCATGACTTTTTTCATTATCTTTATACATTTTTTTTTCAACTAAAATTTTAATTTTAGTTTTATTATATTTATTTTTTAACATTATATTATCAAATATAAAGTATTATAATTTCAATTATATTTATTTATCATCCATTTCTTAGTTTTTATCGATATTCTGAATCTTACATTTTTACAGCCAGTAATAATTAAATATTCTCTTTATTGCAAATAATATTTTGAAATAATTTAAATCAATATTATTTTTTACTCAATTTTCAATTTTTCGATTATACTACATAATAATACACTACATTTCAATTTCAATTCAATTCAATTTCTTTTCTTTTTTTTTTTTTAGTAAATAATTATATTATTGTGGTAATTATAACGTTTAAATAGCGTAAATAATACTCTATATATCCGACATTATTTTTAAGTTTAAAGATAAAATCACAACAATTTTTGAATAATTTTAAGTCCTTATAAGGCATAGCCCTATAAATCGATACTTTAAAGAATGTATTAATTTTTAATTATTGTGGTCATAAAAGTTAGTTATATTTGTTACTTATATTCATTTCCGAAATTAAATTTCAACAGTTTTTATACTACAACAGGTTTTATACGTAAAATAACAAGTAATATCATTAATTTTTCTAATAGCTTACACAATTAATTGATATTAATTATTATATGGTATACCGTAAATAGATAGTGGTTAATTGATGGCACGGCAAAAATATGTGGACAAATGATCGCACGACAATTAATAGTGTAGTTTTCGACAACATTTTAATTTTATTAATTAATTGATTTTATTAAATTATGAGTAATTATGAGAAATATATAAAGAGTGAAAGAGCCTCCAATATTTTAGTAAATGGTGGATACATGTATCAACGTGAATGTAATATGCTGGAAAAAAGCATTTAGCGGTGTGTGTGTAATACAAAAAATGTAAAGGAAGATTCTCTGTATCTAAGAGTGAAAAAATAAAATACATGGACCATAATCACGTTCCGGATATTGCCAAAATATAGGTTAATTAAATGAAGGAAAAATCCAGAAGTACATGTGAATCGACAAACTCAGTTCTTGGAAAAATAGCTCAGGTACCCATTTACTATATTATTACGTATTATATTATATTAAAAATTGTCATCATCTTCATAAATTCATCCAGAATATTCTAACTTTTAGAACGTTTTAAATTAGTTAGTTATCAATTATTACACTAATTTAGTATTTTACTTTTACTATTGCTATTTTATACGCAGTATACACGATATCAATTCGATCGTGTCACCCGGATACCGCGATCTCACCTGTTACACCCCTTTGCCTTGGTACTATCGTACAATCGATTATCAATTGGGACGTCTGATCGATTAAAAGAAACAGTTTTAGAAGATAGTGATGTACCCGGCGTTTACTAGTTGGGTCCTGAATAGGGGTGCAATTTCAATGAAAAAAACTGGGATGCGAAGCCCTTTTATCTTTTTCATGTTCTTTAATTGATATAGATACCCGCAACTCGTACAATTCAACAGTTACTAAAATTTTTGGTAAATATTTGAATATATCTAAATTTAAATTGTTCACTTTGATTATATATTTTATTGCAAGTATAATTACCATACTTGTCTGTAAACACAGATTTTTCACTTTCACTTTTCACTTTTAGTTCTGACTGAAGTGAAGGATATTATAGTTTTATAATGATGTTTGTATTTTATTTTTTTAACACTTTTTCGGTTAGAAATACTGGTCCAAAAGTTTTTTCTAGGAAATTTTTAAATTTTAAATCGGCATGCGGTGGTGCATTAGATAGGTAATTTTTTTAAACCAGGTGGAAGGAAAAAAACTGTCATGAAATGGTAAAAATACGCTGTAAATAATGCTTTCACTTTTCAGATTTTAGTTATTTAGTCATAACTCCAAAAGTAAAGTGGTTAGAAACTTGAAACTTTTACCCTATAGCAAAGATTTTTTTTTTTCCATAAATAACATTTAATATTATATTATTTAATAACAAAACATAGAATAATATTGTACATTATATTATTATATTATGGTAATCTAATCGGTATGGTTATATACAGCATTAATGTATTTTTGTATTAGCTAATAAATATTTAAATTAAAAAAATTATACATATACTTATTTTGTTTTCATATCAAAATAAAAAAAGTGTCATTCAATATGATGGTTTAGGTTTAGGGATTTAAAATTCTGGCAACCCTACTTATTATTATTATCTAGTTTGAGGACCAAAGAGACAAAGGACGAACTTCCACCGCCATTATTTAAATAATAAATTTATATATTTATACAATAAAAACTCTGTTTTTCTATTCATAATGAGTAATGAGTAATTAAATGTAAATTAACACGAAAACATTAGGGTGCTAATTTCGAAAATGAGGGTGCTAAACATACCCAAGCTCCCCCCAAATTGCGTCTATGGTCCCGAAGACTCCTATTTAGTCTAGTTAGGTCCCAGTGTTATTTAGGTTCTACACTAGTTGGGACCCACGAAATTACAAGTACTACTCTAGATGGGTCCATAATAAAAATATTGTTTTTTTCTCATTTTTACAGACTTAGAACTGTCAGTTACCTACAAATTAGAACACAGGTGTCTTTTGTTTTTTAAATTTTCTTATATATGGTATATAATTATTAATTAAAAATTATCTATTGACATGAATCTTTATTATACAGAATTTAACAAAATTGCGTATTTTTATGGTTTTATTTTATTCAAGTATTTATTAATGAAAAAATGTTCACTTTTTAAATTTAATATTGCTATAAAGCAAAACAATATAGTGTTATTGGACCGTAAATTTTCAATTTAATTTTTTTAATTGTTCGCCCCACCAATAAATAATTATTATCAGCAAAACATATATTTTTATAATTGAATATGAGACGGAAAAAACTTTTATTTTAACAATATTTGTCGGAAAAATACATGTATTAAATCAGTAACTATTTTAATTTAAGAACATTTTTTTTTATTTGAGCACAGACCTAACTTTGAAAATATTATGAAAACATTTTTTTTGATTTTATTGTATCTTAGTATCTAAGTCTTTTTTTTTAGAATTCTTTTAAAAATCTTTCTTTTTATTATAAATAATAGAACATTTTGTTTTTTAAGTAATTAAAATAATATTTACTCAATTGACAATTATTTTTGACAAAATGTTATATTTTACAGTAAATATATTTAGGTATTTACCACTGTACGTGGAACGACGAACATTAATGTATTATGTAAGTGTGTGAGCTTGACTGAAAGAGAAATAGTTTTAGGTATTATTTGAATGGTTCTAGGCAGATTTAATGTGGTGATTAGTGCATGTAAACGGACAGAATGCAAGGTAGTGATGGATTAGGTACTTAGGTTACGGCAGAAGTATGAAATGGGTACTGTAAGTATGTGAAGGGGATTAAAGTAGTATAAACATTTATTGAATGAAAGTTTAGTATATTGGGAAGTATGGAGTGAAACATAAGTGTAATAGGGATTTCAAAGGTCGTGGAGGTGCTGTGGAGGGTTATATATGAGGATGTAAAATTGGTGTTAGGGACTATGGAGGTTTTAGTAGACACTAAGGGGATTTAATAGAGGTATTATGATAAAAATGGTAGAAAAGGGAGCTGGGGGTTATGGAGGGGACTATGATAGAGTGTAAGAGGGGCATGGAAGAGTAGCTTTAAGGAATTTAAGGAGATCTGGGATTGTGGAAGAGGCTATGGAGAGATTGCTTGAGGTTATCGAAAGGAAGTTGGGGTTATAGATGCGGTTACGAAAGGGTTGTTTGGTGTGTTGAAGGGGGCTTACGAGGGTATGTATGAAATGTGGGGTGCTGGTTGGTTTTGACGGTTATTAGATTGTTTAATGGAATTTTTGGGGAATTTATTGATTTAATTGGCCAACTATTGCTGTGGGACCAATATTGTAAATTTCATCGATATCAAATTGAAAATGACAGCTGTCGAAAAATAACAAGTCATTTAACTAATATAAAAAGTAAATAATGAAATAATGAAATTATTGAAATTTTAAATAACTATAAAATAACTACTGTATGTTGTTGATAATGCGATTCGATTTGTACACAACTAAGTTTCATTACAAACAATTCAAAGAACTAATGAATTGCAGTTATAAAGAAATTTATATCTTATTATTTATTCGAAATTTTTTTATAATTTTTTATAAACTGTCATTATATATTATTATTAAAAATATGCGTCATTAAACCAAACTTATTTTGTCAAACGATTATGAAAATAAATTAAATTTACAATATAAGCGTTTGTTTTTCATTTTGAGTTTCAGATTATTAGGTTTTCTCATTTAAAATAATACCTATTACAATTTTTGCAATAGAATATTAGTTTGTTGAAAAATATACTTTTGACTGTTATTGCTTGTTTATTTTTGGTACAATTTTATTCTTTTTAGTTAACAAATTGTATACAATTAAAACGAAAATATTATAACTATATTTTTTTCTATTATTTTATTTTGACTAAAAAAACTGAACATACATTTGTTACTTAATATTTGTTTCAACAATCTTGATATTATTAAAAACATAAATGTAAAAATAAAAATAAGTATTTTATTGATTGCAAATAAATAACAATATGCTTACAGTACTATGATTTTATAACATTAGGTTATACAATACAGCTATAATTGAAATAAATTTAATAATTTATAAATAAGTGATTTTGAAAACAATTTTTTATGGGCTTGGGCATTAGATTTGATTCAATTATCGAGAGAGGGATGCTTAAGCGGTTTCAAACTTGTTAAAAAATGCGTGAAGCTAAATTTTGTGGCTCTTACTTGGAATGAAGACGTAGTGGCAGACACTACTTCGTAGAACCGCTCCCAAGGGTGTTGTTTTGGTGGCCGGAAAGGCGTGAGTAGATAATGTAGGCCGAGAAGTGGCAGCAATAGTAACGTGGCTCTAAATGCCTGCAACAGTGTCCGGGATGGAGTGCTGTTGGACAGATGTGACGGCCCTGCTTGAAGCTTAACCCATAGAACTCGGACAATATTGCACAAAAACACCAGATTGAGTGCCATTGACATACATACTGGCACAACTAGTACCTCCGTAAATGGTGACTCATTGATCCAGCACCTAGAGGGTGCAATCAATTGATTTCGAAATTAAGCTATTTCATGTAGAACCATTTTAAACGTTTTTAAACTAAAAAAAAAATAAATATATTATTGTAAAAATACATTTAGAAATGTTATAGAAAACTTATATTTTCTTAGAGTCATTGAAGAATTTTTTTCTTAACAATGAATAATAATTTAGTATATTATACTCGTATTTAATGGATAAGTCATACCATAAGATATCTTAGTTAAAAACAATCAATCAAGTGTATAAAGTATAAAATTATATTTTTACTCACTCAGATGTATGGTCATAAACAATTCGGAGAAATGAATATAAAGTAATGACAACTAGTGGCGTTGACCAGGCCAACGTCCAGGACCAACGGACTAGAGTATCTTCGGATGTAAAAGCAAACACGAGAAGGGTGTGTAAATAAAATCCTTCGGCTAACATCCACGCATAATTGGTAAGTAGAAAGTAGTGTAGCACAACATGTAGTATTTGACACCACCACTAAAAAGATAAATAATATACATTATTAAATTATTATTAAATTATTATCTAGTTATTTCTTTAGAACACTTTCAATTTTAGACAACATATACAATAATACGACAAAACAATAATATAATATATTTAATATTTGATTAATAGTGTTTGATTAATAATGATTGAAATATCTCGAATTTAATACAATCTAGTTTTCTGGTATGAAAAATACATAAAATAAAATAAATAGTTCTACATGAGGATTGGAATGATAATAATATATAGATTTACACATTGAAAATTATATTATATTATACTTATTTTATTAACTGAAACAATAATAAAACCATTCACATTTAAAAAATTAATTTTGAAAACTACAATTATAACCAAGGCTGTAAATTTAATGCATTTGTATGTTTTTTTTTGCCACACCGTATAATAAAATGGATTTGGTTAAAATTTGTTTTGACTTATAATATATAGTTCAAATACCAAATCTTATTTAGCATATTTTTGCATATTTCATGGGTTATAGCATATAAATGCATATTTTAATGATTTTTTTGTATAAATGCTTTTTTTCGGTCAATCTGTTCTAAATTGATATTAAATGTATTTGTATAAACTATGAATTGTATGATTTTATAGAAACTATTCTATTTTTAGTCGGATATTACGTGTATTATTGACTATTGTACTATTGGAGTAGGGATTAAATTAATTAACTGATATCAAATCGTACACAACGGATGACAAAAATCAAAAACATTAATATGTCTTTAGTTTGATGCGATCCGTTGATCAACGAGCGTTGTGTGTGTGTTCGAGTATTATTTTTATTCGTGTTGATTTTTTTATTTAATTATTTTATTTCACGTGTTCAGTACTTCATATATGTCACATTTTTTTAAATAATATCGCTAAATAAATATGCCAAAGGAAAAAAACATCGGTTGCGACCCGTTTAAAAACCTACGTTTCGGAATTTGGAAACATATTTACAACGGATAATAAAATTCTATTTTGTACAGTTTGTAATATAAAAATAGCCAGCGATAAACGTTTTTTCTGTAACACAACACGTTGCAACTGATAAACATCGGAGAGGAATCAATCGTGTAGAAGACAAAAAAAAATTTCAGCAATTTATTACAAAAGATTCGTCATCAAAATCTTTATTCATCACTTATTTGTGTAAAGAAATGCTCAGTGCTAATATCCCACTTAATAAATTAAGCAATAAGTATTTCAAAAAATTTTTATTAAAATGCACGGCACAAAATGTACCAGATCAAACAATATTGCGCAAAGGAAATGTTGAATATTGCTACCAAGAAGTTATTTCAGAAATAAGACAAAAAGTTGTGGGAAAGAAAATCTGGTATCGATAAACGAGACGACAGATACTGAGGTCGTTTTATCGCTTCAGTCATTATTGGCACATTACTCCCGGATTGTGCAGGTGAAATTTTTTTGTTTGATCTTGAACATTTACAGAAAACAAATTATAGTACAATATGTTCAGTATTTTAAAATTCTCTGTATTTATTATGGCCTGACAGAATACGTCGAAACGACGTATTACTTTTTTTAACTGATGCTGCGCCTTATATGACAAAGGCAGGTAATACATTAAAAGTTTTGTATACAAAAATGGATCACGTAACTTGTACTTCTCATGGATTGCTTAGAATTGCCGAACAAATTCGTATTCAGTTTCCAAAAATCAATAAACTGATCGGAAATGTCAAACGAGTATTTAAAAAAGCACCTTATCGTGTTCAGAAATTTCATACTGATGCACCTCATATACCACTACCCCCCGAACCTATTTTGACTCGTTGGGGTATGTGAATATCTGTCGCAATATATTACAGTGAAAACTTCGAAACTGTAAGACGAATTGTTGAATGTTTTGATGAAAATTATGTACTTTCTATTAAAAATGCTCAAAAATATTTAAAACTTAACCAAATGAAAGGAAATTTGGCTTACATACATTCAAATTTCGCATGTCTTCCTCTATAGCTATTACGCGTCTACAAAAACAAAGTATTCCCTTATCTGAAGCTACTGAAATTGTACAAGATGTTTCGACAAAGTTTAGTCAAGCAGCTGGAACTGCTGTTAATAAAAAATTACAAACAGTTCTCAACAAAAACAAAGGATTTCAAATAATTTGTAATATTTCAAAAATATTAACTGGTGAAAAAGAAAACAGGTTTGGATATACCAGAAGATTTAACCAATACATGACATATTTCAATTTTGCCCCCATAACATCGTCTTTTATAGATCTTGTATACCAGTGGTGGCCAAACTTTTTTTTCCTCGGGCCATAAAACAATTGAATTTTAAATTTTTTTTTACGTAAATGCAAAATATTACAGTTATACAAATAAGTGCTGTAATATAGAAGACTTTCGCGGGCCAGATATTAAATGATGGCGGGCCGCAGTTGGCCCGTGGGCCGTAGTTTGGCCACCACTGTTGTATACAATGAGCATTAATACTAGCCCAATAACAAATTAATAATTAATAAAAAAAATTACAATGAAAAAAATAAAAGTTAAATTTTAACGGTTTTTTTGCATATTTTTATGCATAATTTGTCAGTTTTTGGTGCATATTTGCATGCATATTTAATAGTTTCTAAGCGCATTAAATTCACAGCCTTGTAATAGTTCATAATTATGTATATTTAATTTACTTAAATAAATAATTTTAATATTTATGTTGTACGGGTTGAAAGCTTTAATTAAATCTAATCTTTGAAATATTAAATTTTATGTTATAAAAATCAGATATGGTGGCCACATAAATTTTTTTTTACAAAGTTTTTATAGATCGAAACATAGAACAATAATTGTTTTTATGAATATTGATGATCATTCTTAATTATTTTTTCCTATGGTTAAAATTTTCTAACTAAAATAACTTCTCACAAGAAGTTTCTTAGATTATCTTACGGAATTATTTATTATACTATTTTTAGATTTAAGGATCACTATTGATATTTACCTACAGTTCATCGTATCTAATGAGTCAAATAAAAACTATAAGTAAATTTATTTTCTTTTTGTTCAAAAAATTGTTGGGTCTTAATATGAACTACTAATATTATATTATAATTCAAACTTATAATTATTATAATTATATTATAATGGATCGGAGCATAAATTATGAAATAGGCTCGAATTTATATGCATTTGTATATTTTTTCAGTCCAAAGATAGTCCAAAAAATAGCAAGATAACTGCAACTTTTGAATTATACTTTATTTAGCATATTTTCGCATATTTTGTCATTTTTTTATGTTAACTTCATATTTCTGTATTTAACAATTTTTCATTGAATTATAGTCGAATAATATATAAACAAATAAACAAATATATTTCATAAAGAAATAAATAAATAAATAACTAAAAATTTAGCCTGGAGTATTATTATATTAACTATTATATTTAATTATATTATATTTACATTTATTTATATATTAATGTACGAGTATTAACCATTTAATAATTTTTAATTTGTTTTATTATTTTATTATAGTCGAAAACTTAAATGTTTCATACCCATTTGTTTTAATATTTTTCATAGATTTTACCCACGTATATCTAGTGGCATCCCAAGAATCTTTTAAAGTGGAGGGGGGATAATTTATACATTTATTCACATTTATGTATATTCCTAATGAAAAAAAATTTGAGAGAAAAAAAGGACGATTACTCATTTCATCTTCCCTCTCCAAGGATGACCTTGCATATATCTTTGGTTTGTAAGGAAATTGTATTCTTATATTATCTAATGGCTTCTAGATAAAGATAATTCGATCTGCACTAGTAGTTATAATCTGTATATCGAAAAGGTTTTCGTGAACCATATTTTATTCTTGTTTGGACCGAATTTCGCGTTATTGTGTGTTTATGTTTCTTATTAAAATGTCAAAAGTACATTCGTCTTTTCGTAAATATGTTGCGGAATTTAGAGAAAATATTTTTGCAACTGACGGGGGTATATTTTTTGTAAAGTATGTGAGATTAAAGTCAACAGTGGAGAGCGATTATATTTGTAAATGTAACTAAGTCTTTGGTTGTCATCTGTAACTCTCCAGGTAACTTTGAAATAATACAAAAATAAACTAAATTTGTTTAAATTGATTTTCGTTTGTGCATTTTTATTTAGATGATTGAATGTTCAAACATTTTATAAATACTTTATAAATATTTTATAAATTTAATATATAATTTTAAAAATTACACTTCAATTATTTCAATTAGATATTTAAAACATTTTTTTGTTCCATACCCATAGGTGGTATTAGACCCTCTTGGTAGAGGGGGCAGGAAATACTTTAAGTAAAATATTAACACTATTTTGTCTAAATCTTTAGACTAGCTATAAAAAAAGTATTTTATTGATAACTTATTTTAACTTTTATCAAATAAGATTATTTTGTAAAACGAATAATACACTTACAAATACCTACATTTATATTATTTTATCTTATAAAATTTTAAAATAATAACTTACAACAATTTACCTGTGATGGTTCTCATAGGTGGACCTAGAATGATGCATTTGAGTGTGCCCTGTCATTTTTTGGTTATTTTTTCAAAATATAAAGAAGAGGCTATAAACACGTACGTGTAGACCATGTTATGATTTAAATTCTAAAAATAAAGGCTTCGTTAATGATGTAAAATAACGATTGGTAAAATATACACGTAATTATTATTTCAGACTTATTCGGAACACTTGCAATATTACTTACAAAAAAACTAAAATTTAATTAATGTGTATGCACATTTATTCTTAATTGTAATTATTCAATTTTTTTATTCGCATTATTCACATTAGGGTGTGCCAAGGCATACCAGGCACATCTCGTAGAGCCACCTATGATGGTTCTTGTATGAAAAAGTCGTATAAAGTTTTTATTTTTTTACCTTGGTTTGTGTTCATAATTTTTATTATAATTAATATTATCCAAAAAACTCAAGAATACTAAATAAAAT